CAGTGCAATACATTAGACTAGCTGTTGGTTGAGATAAAAATATGATTAAATCAGTCATTAGCGTACCATATATTATTTGGTCAATATGACTATATCATCAGATCAACAGATGAATAAAAAATTATATTATATCAATTATATTAATTGATGCAAAAAAACATTTGATAAAATTCAATGCCCACTCATGATAAAAACTGTCAAAAAAAAAAACCTCGAAAAAAAGGAGCCACCATAATGCATTAAAGCTACATATAAAAATACAACTGATAATGCTTAATTATTAAAAACTAAACTCTTTCTCCATAAAATTAGGAACAAGCATTTCCCTAATGCTATTAAACATGTTACTAGAAGCCCCACTCAATAAGACAAAAAAAGAAATAAAAGGTACAGAGATTGAGTTATCTTTATTCACACATGTAATAATTGTCTTGGAAGAATACCTCAGGAAATCTATTATTTGTTAAATCTAYTATTTGGTTTAACAAACTGCAAAGCTTGTATAGCAAGCTTTCAGGATATGAAATCAATATATAAGTGAATAGCTTTCCAACAAAGAACATTGGAATACTGAYATGAAAAAAGCAAAGAAAAAATTCCATTTAAAATAGCAGTCTTCCAAAATTTAAACACTTAGATGTACATATTATAAAATTTGTATAATAACTGCTTTTGGAAAATTACAAAATACTGATGAGAAAAATCTAAGWTCTTAGTCAGTAGTGACATATTCCTTGTTTATGACATGGAAGACTCARTAATGTTAAGATGTCATTTCTTCCCAACTTGATTTATAGGTTCAATGCAATCCCACTCAAAATTCCATAAATATTCACTACACACACATTAAAATTATTTACTTTACATTCTAAAAATGTATAGCAAACACATAACACCACTATAACCATGAGAATATCAAATAAGCCTAAAATGTAGAGCAGTATAGAGAAGTGAAAGTCAAGGAATTATGAGAAGCTTAGAGTTTAGAGAAGTCAAAGGAGACATGGCAACGGATTGCACTGTATTCTAATAGGATACTGGAATGGAAAAACTAAACAAAAAATCATTAGAACCAGTTATGATGATATATGACTATAATCCCAACCATTTGGGTTGCTGTGGCAGCAGGACCTCAAGTTGGAGGTAAGCTTCAGAAACTTAGAATTCTGTCCTCAAAAAAAAAAAAGCTGGGGATACAGTGATGGAACTCAATGTTTAAGCACCCCTGGGTTCAATCCTCAGTACAAAAGAAAAAGGATATTAGATAAAAAAAAACTAAGCAAAATCACATATATTGAACTTAGTTAATAATAACATAGCAACATTATTAGATTATTATATAATATTAATATTTTATTATATCACATGTAACAAATACCATTTAATTATTTGTGGCAAGTATACAATATTAATGTAAGATGATAGTGATAAGAGAAATTGAGTRTGCAATACATGGGACTTTCATATTTCCACTGAAAATTTTCTGTAAATCTGGAATTATTCCAAAATAAAAAAGTGTATTCAACAATTTTTAACACGACTTCCTTAAAAATCACTATAAAGTATGTAGTCTTTCCCTTAGCAGTGGAAATTAAAAGCGATAATAACATTGATGATAGATTAAGAATGTGAACCAATGGGTATTTAATATAATGCTGGCAAGTATCTAAATTGAAAATGTATTTAAAACACTTTATGATATTAAAGGTACAGCACAAACACAAACACACACACACACACACACAAATTATTAAAAAAAGAGTCATGAATTTGCCTCAAAAAGGCAAATCTCATGAATTCAATTTTACTATAAAGTGAAGGAGGTTCACCATTACAGTGGCAATTCAATATTTAAGATTTCATCTCTTTTTTGCACAATAAGCTCATAAATTCATACAGAGTTAAAATTAGTCTTATGATTTATTCTCAGGAAAGAGTCACATTCAGAATGAGTCTAGGAGAGTAGGGTCACTAATTGATTCTTTAATAATTACCTAGATTTRATGAGGTAGGACCAGTTGCATTGGAACATAGTACTGCATTGTTACATCRCCCAAGCAAGTATTCTGTGAGTATCTATCAAAATCAAAGAATTGCTTGATTTCACACATGATGACTACAGTATGTGGAAAAAACTTATACTTCCTGGTTTTAAAGTTTGCATTTGTAATTTGGTAGTTCTTGTAACCTTTGTAAAGTTATTTATTGTAAATAAATTTTCAGTAAACATTATCTATACTAAAAACKATGATCGAATAATATATAATAATCAAACCCCTATTTATTAATTTATATAATAAGCACCACAAGCACCATTAAGACCGGTCTTGCACTATATTTCATTTATTCAGTTCTATTTGCAGTTTCTRGGTTGATTCACACTATTCTTAATCTCACTTTTTCATATTCTCTTAGCCATGCTGGAATGCATCTCTCTAAATTCAGATTGTAGTATATATCATATCACTGCATTTGCTATTTGTCCATTTTTCTAACTAGGCTGGGTGTGTTTCTTGAAAACAGACACTCAGCTTTACTTTTCTGTGTATCCCAAGCATTCATAACAGATCTGTCATGGCATAGGTACTATGTAAATGTGTGAATATTGCTTATGAACACTGTATTTTAGTCAGTGTTTGTGGATCCTCTRTCAGGTCTAGGACTGTGATTTGACAACTGGCATTTTTGTGATTTATATAAAATTATTCTTTAAAGATAACAATATGATAGCATTAATGTCATTTCATATATTGATTTCCTAKGGATGACATAGGTAATTACCATAAACTTGATACCTTAAAGCAGTAGAAACATATATGCTCTATGAATGATATTCTGACTAGGGAGAGAGAGCATCTCAATGCAATATTGAATTGCATTTTCCTGATGGATGAAGATGTTGAACATTTGTACTTTGTTTATTAGTTTGTTTCTGGTACTGGGGATTCAACCTAGGATTACTCTACCATTGAACTGCATCCCTAACTTTATTATTTTATTTTTATTGTTTTAATTTTTTTAGACGTTGATGGATCTCTTTATTTTAGCCATATATTTAGATGTGGTGCTGAGAATAAAACCCAGTGCCTCACACATGCTAGGCAATTGCTTTATCACTGAGTCACAACCCCAAACCCTTTATTTTTATTTTACTTTGGAGACAGGATCTTGTTAAGTTGTTGAGGCTGACCTTGTTAAGTTGTTGAGGCTGACCTTGTTAAGTTGTTGAGGCTGACCTTGAACTTACACCCTCTTCCCTCAGCTTCCTAAGACATTGGGATGCCAGGGCTTTACCACCTTGGCAGGCTGTACTTCTTTCGAAAAATGTCTGCTCAATTCTTTTGCCTATTGATTTTTTTCTTTTACGTTTAAGTTTTGTCTTGTTAGTTGTTTTATTTTTTTAATACATATTCTGGATATTAATGGTCTTTCAGAAGAGTAGCTGGAAAGGATTTCCTGTTCTTTGGGCTTTCTACTTACTTGGTTGGTTCCTTTGTTTGGCAGTTTGATGCAGCCCCATTTGTTGATTCTTGCTATTATTTCCTGATCTTTTGGAGTCCCATTCAGGAAGGTATTGCTGTGCCTGTGTCTTGACTTGTTTTCATTGTGTTTTTTTCATCTTTCATTTTCAAAGTTTTGGGTCTGACATTTAAGCATAATGAGGGAAAACATGCTATATTTGTCTTTCTGTGTGTCTGGATTATTTTGCTTTGCTTATCCATATGGATATCCATTTCCACCCATTTTCCTGCAAATGGCATGATTTTATTTTTCTTTATGACTGAATAATACTTCATTGTATGTATTACCACACTTTCTACCCATCCATCTTGATAGGTACCTACACTAATTCCATAACTTGGTTATTGTGAATTAWGTCATAATAAACATAGGTATTCAGGTATCTCTATACTACAATAACTTTAATTCCTTTGGATATACACTAGTTATGATATAGGTAGATCATATGTGGTATACTATTTTGAGTCTTTTGAGGAACCTCCATCCTGACTTCCATAGTATAATTTATATTACCACCAATAATGTGTAAGGTTTCCTCTTCACCTGAATCTTAGCCACCATTCATTGTAAAAAATTCAGAACAATGAAGAAAGAAATGAAGAAGATACTGGAAGATGGAAAAACCTCCCATATTCATTGATTAACAGAATTATTATTATTAAAATGTCATATTACTGAAAGCTTGGTAGAAAAAAATGAAACTGGGTTACTCACCATTGTGAAAATTGAAATAAAAAAGATTCAAAGTGTAGGCAAGGCTATACGTCCTCTGAAGGTTCTAGAGGAAATTCTTCAAGCACTTAGACAGTCTGTGTGTTCCTTAACTTGGGGCTAYATACCTCTACTCTGCCTCCATCTGCACATGGCCTCCTCCCTTTTRTTTCTCTGTATCTCTTCTTCTAAGGACTCATCATTGGATTTAAAGCCCACTGAATTAATACAGAATGATCTCATCTCAAGATGCTTAATTACCTCTGCAAAAATCCTTTTTCCAAATAACATYATGTTCAGAGTTACTGGGGTCATAGTACTTGGACCTGTTTTGGGGGGTTCAAAATTCTATGCATCATACTATCGTGACACAGATCACTAGCTACATTTTGTTGGATCTCTAAAAACATATTTGAATGAGGGAATTGCAGGAGATATTGCTCATATAATATATATATATATATATATATATATATATATGTGTGTGTGTGTGTGTGTGTGTGTGTGTGTGTGTGTGTGTGTGAGATATATAGAGAGAGCTCATATGCTATATATATGTATGTATAGATGTTAGGGTCTGTAAACAAGTCAAGATGGCACCTGGCATTTGCTGGTGTTACTTCACAAACCACTCCCTCTGGCAAAATGCCAGGCGCCATCTTGACTTGTTTACAGACCCTAACATATAGATATATTGCTCATATAATATATAGACATATATATGTGTGTATATATAATTTTTTTTTCTTTTCACTGTTCTTCCTTAGATGCCTTCCTGGATTTTCTGGTCAATTTTGTGAAGATAATATAAATGAATGTACTTCATTACCATGTCTACATGAGGCAATCTGTGAAGATCTTATCAATGGATACATTTGCAAATGTCAACAAGGTAATTATTAAAAATATTAAGTATAAAATGAATGAATGTTTAATATGTATGTTAGTATACAGATGTATATGTGTACATAGTACAGTTTTAACAGTAGACTTCATCAATAGTTTTACTGACTACCAATCAGGTTCTAAGCAATCCCTGTGCTTAAAAAATGTGAAATGAATRTTCTGACACTGGAAAGCAATCACTTAGGCTGTCAGAAGGAATGGATTTTTTTGAATTTATATAAGCTTCAGATTCTTGATCTTTATRTCAAATATTTCCTGCACAGAGCAAGTCATTTATAAATGTTAGTGCTTATTGATATTGACAACATTATTTCTTTCATAATTTTCAGCACAGAAATGGACAAAGTCAATAAGSTGCTTTTATGCAAGGAATAATTGCTGCTATGATCTGAAATATTTGCATTCCCCTAAAGTTCATATGCTAAAACATAATCACCAATATGATACTATTAAGCGGTTGYGTTTGCGGGAGGTGATTAGGTAAAGAGAGTAGATCTCTCAGGAATGGAATTAGTGGTCTCATAAAAGAGTCCCCAGAGAGCTGGCAATCTCTCTCCACTATTCTAGGGCACATGCAGAAGGCATGGCCTAAGAATCATGAAGCAGGCTCCCTGGTCATTGAATTATCAAGCAATTTGATCTTGGAAACTACMTAGCCCCTAAAACAGAAAAATCATTGTCTTTTGTTTATAAGCCATCTAGTCTATGGCATTTTGTTAAAGCATCCATAGTCTCTTTAACTATATAMTGACATAAACATTTATCATTTTTCCCTCTTCCTTTTTTTTTTCTTTAAATGTTCAGGTTTGTTGCTCTTTTCCTATTCTTCTGTCATTCATCTTCAACATTTAGGTACATCCACCCAGAAGTAATGTGGAATGACTGAATTTCCCTTAGCAACAAGTATTATATGTGGTGTATATTTTTGGATATATAAAAATATCACTATTTTTATACTCYATAGAAGACTTCAGAATACCCCATGAGTCTGAGTTTAATATTGAGTCTACTGAGAGAAAAACATGCAGGTAGTCATGTGGGTATTAGTGCTTATAAGATTTATGTGAAGCTGTAGGAAATAGTATGTGTCAATGAATATCACCTGCATGAATTTTCCAAGTTTAGAAATCACTGAGAGCCCAGATCTGTTTACTTTCATACTCATTTCTGACTTATTACTGGTACCAGATTTTATCTGGTTACATAACACATCCAGAAATCAGTGCCCAAGGAATTTTGAAGTTGCCTCCTATACATAAAACTTTAACTTTTGAAATAAAAGAAGGAAAGATTAAATTTTCTGATACAAAGGATAAATGCCATTTCCATAGTTTGGTCTCCTTTAAGCAGATCACTATTTATCATAGTCTTAACATTTAAATCCCTATGACAGTTAACATAAGCAATGGAAATAATTCTCCAAAAGAAGTTGAGTGTAACCTCTACATAAATTGTAGTTTTTAACCCATCAATACATATAATTGATACTTTTATATGTTTCCACGTTCTTAAAGTTATTACCACTTCTAGATTAGTTTTGATGCTGTAARTTAAAATCCTACTTCTTCTGGATTTACTTAGAAGCATGAAGCCATTTTGAAATTGCTGCAGCATTCAAATGAAGCTTAAGCATTTCCCCTAGTTCCATAGTAGAAAGTAGAAGACCTAAAATGAGACYCTCCAAGGTTATTAGGTGTTAAAAGTTGCTGATCTTTTTGAATTAAGACAGATATTCACTACCTTTTGCAGGAGCAAAACCAAATGAAACAAACTCTTGGAAAGTGTTGTGCATCCTCCTGCAGACCACTRGGTCCCTGCTTCAAGTGGATGTCAGCAGCCATGACTCTTAAACATGTCAACTCATCCWCTCTCCCAAGTTATTTGAGAAACAAACTTTATCCTATTGATCACCTTCCATCTTATCTWTCTTTGTTTTCTCTGTCATAGTTGACTATATTATCAGGGCATATTTATTCCTATAACACAATGTACTCTCTGGTTACCTACCTATATTTTTGACAAACACATAAAGTTGCATAAAAACAACCACAGTCAGTCAGTCAGTTACCACCATTTTCCCCAACTACACTCTTGTTCCTCTTTGAAGTCAAATTTTTCCTCACTCCCAACAGAAAATGTTTTTGACAGAATTACAACATTTTCTTTTATATCTTTTAATTATAGCATTTTATCTCCTTACAAATTCTGTTATTGAGCACTTTTTTCCTTATATTTTGAATTTCAGACTTTGGGAGTCAAATTTGGGAAGACTTTGACATAGAAGTGCTTATAAAATAATAATAATTATGATAGCAATAAYGGTATTGGTACACAGACAACATGCTATTCTTTATGCAATAACTCCTCTGGTTTTTATAACAACCTTGAGAAGAATGTATCTCATTTTACCAGTCTCATTTTATCAATGAGGAAGCAGTCCCAGAGCCACTCAGTAATTTCTCAGAACATGTTAGTGGCAGAGCTAGATTCATAATCAGGAAGCCTAGCCTAGCATTTATATACTTCTCATTTCTCCCMAAAATTGTTATGTTGCTGAATAACAACTCCCCATAAAGTCTCAGTTATGCAAGATGAATAAATTCTAGATATCTKCTGTACAGCAACCATGTGTATAGTTAACAGCAACATATTGTACAGTTAAAAATTTGCTACAAGAATCAGCCTCGTGTTTAGAGCTTTTCCTACAATTAAGAGTTCTAATTGACAACCATTTAAAAAGGAGTCTTCTCCAATAAGATCCAACAGTGTGTTATGGTTTAGTCTGGATTCTAATAACTGTGAGAATTCTTCAAAAAGGTCTCACACCCAGATCTGTCAGATTCTCTTTTTAAAGRCTTTTATAATCAAAATCTTTCCACTGCTCTGTCAGAGAATTTGTATTTTCACAGATGTCATACAAAGACACAAAGTTTAATTCATTTGGTTGATGCTTATCTGCTTTTCCTTGTCATCCATGGAAAACACCAACCTTAAATAATATTCATAACTCTTTTTAGAGTCTTATCTTTTTCATGCCATTTTGCTAATCTTACATAGTGAGATGGAAGTCTACTTTGGCTAGGCATTCTTAAGTCTTTAAGTTAAGCACCATAAATCATTGCTATTTTCTATTTCTGTCAGTTGTGGAAATCTTCCTTAACTTTACGTCATGTCGCCAATTGCCAAAATTTATTCATATTCATCAAATATCTCTCTCTTCTTTCATGGCAATAACCTTGAATGGTTCSTTTATTGTGCCATAAGATTTATAATTTTATCTTTCTTCTCTCTTCCCTCTTTTAATCTAAACAGCTGYATGACTCCTGCAGTCCTGAAACATTCTGAACAGACCAAACTTTGAAAAAATAAATACTGTTTTCTTAACAGATGTGTCTGTAGAACACACTAAAATTTAAATTGGATCTAAGTAGACTAAAGGGCATTCTAAATGTTATTTAGCTTTTTATTAACACATCCTAGTAGGAAAGTTGTACAATAATGGGTCCTCTGGGAGTTATAGCACCGACTGAAAAAAAAAAAAAAGGAAATTATTTATGATGTTAGCCAGTGTTGCAAAGACACTGACAGAGCCATGTTTATACCAGTCCTGATTCTCTAAGTAGGCAAACTATTTGCTTATGTCCCTTCCTCCCAGCCAGTAGGTACAATGTCTGACAAGTGGATTACAGGTTGGATTTCAGACCTCACTCTTCCCCTTTACATGAAATTTTCATGAAAAGACAACCCCAATAGCATTTAGGACAGTCCTGAATATACAGTTCATCTTGTATGTATATAATGAACTGAATGGTTTATGAACTCATTTGTACTATCAATACAGGGATTCAAGTTGCATTGACGTAAGTTGTGTTTTAGACTAAATGGTCCCATTGACATTRTTATATAATAACAATGCTTAACTTACACTCATAAGTGCAGCCAGAGCCATCTTACTGWGAGCAATATGAAAGTGATGAGGAAYAGACTCTGTGCTGCAAATGTGATTGCTGCACCCATTGTTGTTCTGAATCCCTGGAGCAGTCATTGGGCCCAAATACRATTTATACCCAGGAGGGTGCAATGATGTCTGTAGTGATGATGTAGACTGCAGAAACACAGTGTGCCTTTAAAGCAGCATTATTCTTTTTACAGCAGAAATGCTGCCTYGTCCTAATGGCAAGGAAACAGAAACATAGATCATGTCTGTTACCAGWGCTCACAATTACAAAGTTAGGAATGGGAATTCTGTGTTTAGAACAGAAGTCACACAGAACAATTTATCTTTTTAATCAAGGCCCATAAAAAGTGAAATAATCTTTGACATAAAGAAGAGTTTATAAGATTATATTTTCATGATGACTTAAATATAAAAATCAATTCTTCATATACTAAAATTATACTAAAAAGTAATTTTAATTTATGCTATCCAAATACTAGATAATATAATAACCAGTAAGAATTATTGTAGGTTTATCACTTGGCACTGAGAAGGAGGCTGGAATTAAAAGAAAATATAAAATTCTTTGAAAGAGTGACTTTTAATTTCATTAACAAACTCAACCTAATATAACTKCTCTGGGATAACATAGAATGAAAGTATGTTTCCAGTTATTTATATAGATGTATTTAAAGTTTTTTTAATTGATAAACTTAAGTATCACTATAATATTTATCATAATGTTCAATCTAAAGTCATGTTTATTTTTTACTTGAATTATTTGTCATTGTTCTAACAGGATTTATTTATTTTCTAATTTGTRCAGATATTAGATTAATAATTTTAGTCTGTAGTCATCATGATTTGACCACTTTTTTTGGATTRCTAATGAAATATTTTATTTCTTTTTTTTTTTAATTACCAAACTATTTTTTAATACTTGGTTGCCCTATTATGGTGACCATCAAACTTACATGAGGTTTAATGGACAATGTGTTTCTTCAGCTCTGTTTCACAATTTTAAATCTTGCCCAATGGATATCCATTGGTCTGATTTATATTCTCTTATTCTCTTTCCATTTCTCACCATCATGTCACCTCATGGCAGTATAAGTACCTATCTTTTTTACTTATTTCTTTATTTTTGATGAGTATGACTGGTTTTCAGCATCCATCCTGTCTATTRTGGTTTCCTGTACTGCAGTGGCAAGCAAGTTAAAAGCTACAATTTCTAGATGCTCATGAAGCTGAGGTCGTGAATATAATTGAGTCTCAGTAATAATAAATATATCTAGATTCTGAAAGCTCCTGTGGTTTCTGGTGGTAAAGAAGGTCATGTAGATATGTGGTTTTCTGCAGAAGATCTCACTGTCGGTCACTGACTTTATGTATATTAAAATGTAGCACAAGTACAAGTGGCAGCCAGACCAGGCAGTTGGTATTCTGTCATGAGCTCCAGGGCAGGCAGAGCAGCTGGGGTACTGTAGTGGACACTTCCCAGCAACATGACTCACCTGGATTATACAGTGAGTTCTCCAACTCAACATTACTATTTGTCACCTCATCATTCTAGCTGAGGGACAAAGTTCTCCCAGAAAGTCCTATCTGTCCTTGGAATTACTTCTTAGYCCTTTCTTGTAATTATTTTGTAAGCATCTAATCTCATGAGAAGGCTCTCTTTGTTTAATTATGTAAAGTGACTTATACTTCTTGTGTTGCACCCTGATTTATTTATCTTCTAATCTAATCTTGTCCTAGGAAGAATAGGAGTCTAAATTTAGTCAGAGAGAGTATGCAAACACAGGGGGCCTAATCATTATTAGGCCCCTCAGCCTAYTCCTCCAGTTACTCTTCCTCTAGCTCACCCCAGCATTTGTTTTAGAGAAATTAAGTTGAAGTGTTCTCCTCTATTGAAATAGAGGAGAGTATCTAAGAGTATYAAAATACTCTTGATTAAAATATTTATTGTCTATTTAATTGGTCCAGTACATTTTATTTATTTATTTATTTAGTTAGTTAGTTGTAGATGGACATAGTATCTTTATTTTTATTAGTTTATTTATTTATTTTTTAAGTGATGCTGAGGATCAGACTTAGGGCCATAAGCTTGCTAGGGCACTATCACTGAGCTACAACTCCAGCTCCGTCTTTTTACTGTTCTCATAATTTAAAACTTTGCCATGTCTGTCCTGGTATTAAAAGCAAGAGGAAATTTATAATATCTTAATTGTTTAAAATATCATGAAACATTCTAATCAATAAGAATACACATGTCCTTACATAAAATATATAATAAGCAAATCATATTTACATCAAGAAATATGATGTTACCAATAATTCTAGCCTCCTCTATATGCCTCTAAGAGCATATTTCTTTCCCTTCAACCTGAAGTAACTATTCTAAATTTTATATTCAAAATTCTATTCATATTTCTTAAGTGTTTCTAAGTAATGTTACTAAGTTTTCCATGTATGTATTGTATTGTATTTGTATGTGTTCAGCTTTCATAAAAACTATTTTTAGGATGCAAGTATTTTTAATGAATATGCGTTATGCTCAACTAAGTTTGAGAGATTCAAAGATGTGAATATTGTGAATGACTGKTCATAAAAACTTTTTACAGTAGTTGCAAAAGTGTTTTTTTTTTCTTTCTTTCTTTCTTTTTATTTTTTTTCTGTACTGTCTTTTGTAACTTCCAGAGTGGAGATCCCCATGGAATCATCTAAGCACATGAAAGAGCATTGCAAAGTGGAAAGAATCTTAGACAAAGATTTGATACACTTAGCCTTCTAGCAGATATACCTAAGTTTGATCTGGACATTACTAAGTACTTAAAAGTGGTCCTCATTTTATAAAGTAGCATTACATTAAATATTTTCTAATTTCTCTAGAATACTATATTTAATTTTCTCCTATAATTTTTCAGGAAGAACAATAAGGTTACGTTCTTAAGTAGGAACAACAGTAATATTTCACATTTCTCAGTAGCTGCTTTTCAAGTTAAATGCTTGGGTAATACATAGAAATTATTTCTATGTATTGGGTAATACATAGAAAAATAAAGAAAGGTTAAAACATTGCAATTATAGCTGGCATAGTTAGTCAGCTAGCAGCCAGCAGCCAGCACTGGGAACTTTCTCTGAAGACATGTTGTACCCATGTAGAATGAGATAGTTAGATTAATATGATTCTGTAGCTGACCTGGTAAATTTACTAAGATAATTACAAATAATTTCCTGACATGAAAGAATCAATGATTTGAAAAATGTACCTCATATGTACCTAGGAGACCACAGCTGCTGACATATTATGTTGTGGAGGGCTTAGCAATGTTAACTCCAGCTTAATGATGAAGATGATGCAATACTAGGAAGAAAACAAATAAAATGCACATGAAAACAGTGTTTTGTTATGGGAAATCAGATAACCTTTTTAAAAAGAATTTTTACTCTCAATRCTCAGCTGAGCATAGGCAAAATATTTACATTCCATAGAATGATATCTTGATAATATTAATATAAAATATTACAAGTATTATAAAAACATTGCATATCTAGATATTGATAGTGTTGCTTTCCTTCAGTTTAAAATTCATATTAAATGGAATCATAGACTATGTTTATTCCATTGCCTTCTATCTATTTTATACAAGGTAAAATAAATGAAGACATCTGAAGATATAATGTTGAATGGCATCAGGAATAAATTCTGGAACTTTATTTTGACATGAATTTGCTTCCATTCTTACATAATATGTGATTTTAGAGCAAACTATTTAACTTCTCACAGTTAAATTTTCTCATGTACTAGAGATACTGATTGCAACTACCTGCCTGATAAAATGATTATGAAGATGAACTGACATAAATTGTATAAAATACTTAGGCCAGTTTCACAAATAGTAAATACCAATACATATAAGCTGTCACCATTATTATTATTGTTGAAAACTAAATGTCTGTTTGGGGTTTTATTTAACAGGATGGTCTGGACGTCACTGTGAGAAGGAACTTGAGTACATTCCCCACTCATGTACTCCTAGGATGTGCATGGAAAATGAACCTGGCACCACTTGTTTCTGCATACCCGGATCTGTGGTAAAGTTTATTTATCAAAGATTATTGTTATGATAATTATTTTTTTCACTGTATTTAAAATGCAGGAAATAATAGAGTAAGGTGATGAAAAYGGGCCTTGTAAAAGTCTCCCCAGTGCCTCTCTCCTTCTCTGAACACACTGCATTTTACTCTGCTTTCTCCCTACCCTTCTTATTATCCATCACTTSTACCATCAGCCCTTCCTTTCAGGGGAAAAGCATTCTAATAAATTGATCCATAYCAAGGTACAAGTCACTTAATGCATTGTCCTTTAATGTTTAATGCATTTGGAAGGAGGATGCCAGTAGAGGAATTGCTTAATACTGTMAGAGTCTTGGCAGAATTCCTGTCTTGCCCAAGGACACAGTACTACTTCCAGGGTGGGCTCAGAGTATTGTATGTTCAAGGAGGATGAATCTGCTTCCTCAGCAAATTGAACTAGTCTGAACTCCATTAACACTAAAATGGACTTCCCTTTCTTAAAAAAATGTCTCTATTAAAATACAGCTTTAGACCACAATACTTTATTAAAACTGACCACAGCACATGAATATAGTTAGGGAACAGCATTTGACAAAGCTATATCAGGTATTTTAATGACTATTTAGATACCAAATGTATTAATATCATTGATAAATTGACTAGTCTTAACTAAGAATRAGGTAAAATAATTAGAGGAGGTTGTTTTCAGGTAACCTGCTCCAAGATTAAGGAATAAGACTTCAAGAGAATGTGAGGCTTGGTTGGTGTCTAAAGAAGACACAAAGATCSTATGGAGCTAGAGATTGCTTTCCAGAACCGAAAGGTCAGACAAGAAAGATCATCATAAGTCTTTGGAGATCGTTAAGGCATTAACAGAAAATGGCCAATAACTGTCACCAAAAGAATTTGAGAAAGCAATTATAGAAAATCAAAAATTGTAAATCATCTTGTATATTTACTCTTCTTTATCAGCCAATACAGTATAACATAACATCTATGTAAATGACATTAAATGTTTTAAATTATGAGGAGACCCAAGCATTACATTTGTAATTTAACAAGAAACACCAAGATAATACAAAGCATTAAAACTTTTGCCTAAACAATTCATAGTAATTATCTTGTTAAGTCCTTTTATGTTAACCTAAACTTGCCTCCGATATTCTCCTTTGCATAGACCTTTAGAAAAAATGTCTCTTTCATATTCCTTTTATTTACACTATTTTAAGCTCTCACTAATTACATTGTTATATAAAATGTTAATTCAACTACATGTTTATAAGATTATAGAAGATTAATATGACTACAATTTTTTGTTTGTTTTATCATGAAGAATAATGGGAASTGAACAGCCCCTGTTGGTTGGGAGGGTTGAAAGCTATTTTTTCCTTTATTTCAAAGAATTAATTTTTGGTAGATAACATTAAAAACATGAACTTTCTGCTTTATMTTCATGTTTAAAGCTATGACAATTGCTGACAAGCTGATAATTAGTTTGCATTATTCATTTTAGCAGATCCAATTGCAAAAAATGTATCAAAATAAGGTGAAAGTAGTTACATTATTCTGAAATTCAAAGGCTCTGTATAAAACTTTAAGTGACAGAATACAATTTATTGGATGCCCTTGACGTGCTAAAAAATTCAAGACAAATGATCTTCTTCTTTTTAATTTGATCAGAACTGCTCATTTCCTCCWTAAATGAATTTCCACCGAACAAGATTGATCCATACATTAACCCATGACTGTCAATGGGTCAGGCTTATTGCATTTTGCAAATGACAACAGTCAATAAAAAGGTTGATTACATTCTAYAAACTAAAACAGAGATTTTTATGTACTCTGGAAATTGTATTTATATTAAACACAATGGATAAAAAACAATTTTTCTGAATGAGAAGAAACTGCTCCAAGTTCTCCAGCAGTACAATATATTTGCAGTACTTGGTTTTAAGTGCCATCCTCAAAGTATGAACCCAAAAAGGAAGACACAGGATAGCAAGACTGTCTAATATTTGACTGTAGTTTAGGTGTTTATTTCCTCATGATATAAAGTCATCAACATTGTCCACAAGTGTAAGCTAAGTATTTACTGTGTTCAAGATGTCATGGCTCATACTATTAACGAAGTTTATTCTCCTGATAGAGTAAATGAGCAATGATACAATTCTTAGCAAAGACCTAATTCAATTTTTAAGGAAAGAGGTGTTTTATTGCTTTAGACATTTATTTACATTTGGATTCAAATTTTTGACATGTTAGATCAGTCAAACACATTCTTTGGACAATCATGACAGCAAAGTAGTTGAAAATCTTATAGAGAAATACAGAAACATACACTGTTCTTACATTCATATTAGGAAAAGAGGACAGGATCACATCTTATGAATGCATTAAAAAATCAGCAAACTTTCTTTTCTTGAGCCAAAATTTGATAGTTTGCCTAAATATATATTGAATACTATCTTGTGTAGTTCCCTCCAAAAATATAAAAATTAATTAATTTTGACCTCTTACCCAATGGCCATTGACATATATGGGGCAAATGAGCATGCAGAGGATAATAATGAAGTCAGCCATGGGCTCAACTTCAGGATGAGGAAAATAAAGGAAATAACTAGGACACTGTTTGTGGTAATAATACTGAAAAAATTATAAGGCAATTGGCAAACACTGTACAAACTAATCATTAGGAGAGCTTTCTCAAGGGACAAAATAGTACAACTTTCTCTCCTGGAGCCTAGATAGGCACTTCTGAAAGTGATAGCATTTAATCTGAACCTCGTACAGGAAGCCCACCCTGTTTTTGAGGGATTGCTCAAAATTGCTAATGAGACTAAATATCTAGTAGACATTAGAAAAAAGTGTTCTATCTGCTCTTCAAGACAGTAACACCACAAATAACAGAAATGTTTGGAACAGCAACTTAATATTTTATAACTCAAAGGATATGATGAATTTTGAGGAGAAGAAGAAAGTGCAAACTGGAATGAAGACATATTTTAACTGTGCAAAGAGGAAGTAATTTAAATTAAATACCTATAATGGAAAATGTAGCTTAATATTTTTAGAAGTARATTATTTTACATAACAAAGTATCCTATATTTTCTATAAATAGACACTGTCCAGCTGTTATCTATAATCTAAATAATTTAGAACACTGTTTTTATTGGTAGATGGAGCATAGTAGAATTAGAATTATCCAGAAGATCTAATTAAGTATTCAGGGTGATGATCATCCATCTTTCATATTTATATATCTGTTTTATTTACTTGTTAACATATATCAACTTAAAGATGAATAGAATTTACATCTTAGACCTTAATTAAACATAATGATCTCTGAAGCTTAGTTTCCTAATGTATGGGAAGAGAACATGGATGAAAGAAAGCTCAGCCACAAGTGAAATACCAAAATTAATCCTTTGGAGAATTGGATGTAGAATATTAAGTGCTCAAACTTATAAATCAGTGTTATTTTTTCATATCATTCCTCATTCATTTATTATTGTGATTTCTACATAAAATATTGGTAGAAGTAAGAATAGAAAATACTATTGAATGACTCCTAAAAAATAAAACATAATTGGATTATTTATTTTCTTGATATTATTTTTTCTCCCTGTGATGGTGATCAAATTGATGGCCTCACACATGCTAGGCAAATCTTCTTCCAAAGAGGTACATCCTCAGTCATTTTATTGTGGTTCCTTCATCCAATTAAAAATGGATAAATATATGAATTAACATTTCTCAAACTAATAAAGTTAAAATTTCTAACAAATTTATTAAAGAAAAAATTTCACCATCTTTAGCTGTTGGGTATATGCAAATCAAACTACAATGAGATGTCATCTTTCCACAATTAGAATGGCCACTATCAAAAAGACAATAAATGCTAGGAAGGAGCTGGAGGAACAAAATTCTTATATATTTTTGATGATAATAGTAAATTAGAATAGCCATTGTGAAGAACATTATTCAGGTTCCCCMAAAAAACTAAAAATAGATCTCTTATATAATTTAGTTWTTCTGCTTCTGGATAAGTATCCAAAGGAAATGATTTCAGCATATCAAACCAATACTTGCCCAACCATATTTATTGCTATAGTTTTCCTAATAGCTATGRTATGGATTCAGCCTCACTGTCCTTTAATGGATGAATGAATAATGGAATGTATACACACTGTGTACACAATTGCATTTTATTAATTCATAAAAAGAATGGTGTCCTATTATTTATAGCAAAATTGGATGGAACTGGAACAGGAGGCCATTGTTTTAAGTCAAATAAGTCAGATAAAAATTTAATATTAAATTTTCTCTTTCATAGGTGGATGGCAAAAAGAGTTGATTTATTTATATATTAGTGATTACAAGAAGTTGAGAAGGATGATGGAAAATATAGAATGAGGTTGGATAACAAATACTAGAATGTAGTTTAAGTGCTGTTAGAAGTAAAAAGTTCAAGTTTTCTACAGCACAGTATAGAACTATATAGTTCACAGTAGCCTAATATGTATATTTAATTATGTAGGATTGGAGACTGAACCCAGGGCCTCATGCATGTTAGGCAACTGTTCTACCATTGAGCAATACTCTCAGCCTTATATAATACTCCCTATTATATAATTTATGTCTAGCAAGAAGAGATGAGGTCAAATCTCAAAACATAAAATAATAATAAAGAGATGTTTTTAATCAGAGTTATTTACCCTGATTTGATTGGTATACACTGAATGCATGTATTGAAGTTCCATGATGTACCCCATAAGTMTGTATAATTAAAGTAATAATATTTGATAAAAATTAAAATACAAACATAGACTGGATTTCAAAATCCTTTCCAAAGTMTCACAACTTTGTCTTGGTCAACAAGACTTTGCACAATTAGGCCTGATAGCTTCTCTAGCCTTACCTYTTGATGATCTCTTCCTAGCTCTTTATAGTACAAAGGTAACAATTGACCTTTGTACTGATTCCATAATTTACCTTTTACATAATATTGTAGTTAAAG